TTGTAATTCAGAAGAGAATGTTCTAGGTTTTTTCTTATTTCTGTATTTTATTTTGTTACAGTTATTCTTCAAAACCAAGGGAGTAGTAAATGAAGATGCATATATATTATTTGTAAGAAAAAATGCAATCGTGGTTCTGATTCCTAAGTATGGGTTAGAAGGAACAGTCTTCTTTGAAGAAAAAGACAAACCAACACCAAAACTGGATTACAACAATGAGGTATGTTCTTATTATTCTTAAGGTTCATTCTTAAATACTTTATTTTTTTTTTTATTTGGTAATTGAGCAGAATGACTAAAGTCTATTGTAGTTGGATTTAGAAGGGTACAAGAGGTTTTTCTAAAGGTAAGTTTATTAATCCATAGTAGTAGCGCTACTAGAGTGTTTGTAAGCCTAAATAAACAGGTTCTGACCATAGTTTCTGTGATACTGTCAATATCTAATTATGTATACCAGATATTATGGCAGTAATTTGTGACCGTTTTTATTTATGTGTAACACTGAATTTTCCCACAAAAATATTTATTTTTATTAAAATGTAAGACATTTTAAGTACTTATACTAAATATGAACTTTCAGGTACCATCACTTACTGTGGAAGGCACAACATTACATGTATTTGATAAAGTTAAAGTGAACATTACATTAGATGATTCCAACATCCAACATCAGAAAATGCGGATGGTCTTGGTAGAACCGAAGGTAAGGCACAAAATTCATAGAACCATATTACTCTTCAATATTGTTACAAAATCATCTTGTGGTAAAATTGAAATTTAACCAGAAGAAAAAAAAAATTTAGCAGAAGCTTGTGATGATTGCTTCATATCCACTCTCAGTAGAACAGGTCTGCTTTCACTGACTGTTGAAAATAGAGGCGTTTAAATTAAATTTCTATTCTGGGCCCATTGGGGTATTTCCGTTGATGGGAAAGGTGATGATTTGCTGAAGTAGTATCTTGAATTTCCCTGTTCTGTAATCGAATCTCTCTTTGAAAATCTGCCAAAACTCAATATAATCTTTTTACTCCAGTGAATTAGAGTGTAACTGCGATGGATGGCTTGAAGATAACTGTGTAATTGTTAGCTATCATGGCAGTTTTGTCCTACAACTCCCACAATATAAACATTTTTCTCTTGGTAATGTTGTAAGAACTGTCATGTCCCACTAGCTGTCTCTGGTTTAAGACTTTTCAGTTCCGGTGTTAGTGCATCTGGGACACTGGGCTTTTCACTTGGTCTCACACCTTAGGCCTCTTAAATATTTTGCAAGACACTGCAAGATTGTGCACCTAAAGTCACATGTGACACTCTTCGTAAAAACAGATGGTTGCAGTATTTGAGTAGCCCTAATCACAGAGGAAAATGATAACCCAAAATATGTAAGAGCTCCTTGTTGTTTATACAGTCAAGCATTATTATTTCTTTTTTTCCTTGAGAAATCATGTTTTCAAATGCATATAAATATTCTGATCTTTGGGCTCTTTTATTTTATTATCTTGAACCAAAGAATGGTTTGGGTTGGAAGGGACCTTAAAGATCATCTACTTTCAACCCCCTTGCCATGGCCAGGGACACCTTCCTCTGGCCCAGGTTGCTCAAAGGCCCCAACTAACCTGGCCTTGAACACCTCCAGGGATGGAGCATTTACAGTTTCTCTGGGAAAGCTGTTCCACTGTCTCGCTATTCTCACAGTAAAGAATTTCTTCCTAGTAGCTAATCTAAACCTGCCCCCTTAAAGCCTTTCCCACTTTTCCTGTCACTACAGGCCCTTGAAAAAAGTTCTTCTTGTAGGCTCCCTTCAGGTGTTGAAAGGCTGGTCAAAGGTTTACCTCAGGCCTTCTCTTCTCCAAGCTGGACAATTCCCATTCTGTCAGCCTTTCCTTACAGGAGAGAGAGGTGCTCCATCCCTCTAATCATCTTGGTGGCCCTCCTATGTATTTATTTCAACATGTCCTTCCTGGGCTGGGGACCCCAGAGCTTGATGCAGTGCTCCAGGTGGGGTCACACCAGAGATGAGTAGAGAGGCAAAATCACCTCCCTTGTCGTAGTGGCCACTCTGCTTTCAATGCAGCCCAGGATACAACTGCCTTCGGGTTTGCAAGCACACGGAGCCAGCTCATGTCCAGCCTCTCATCCCCCAGCGTCCCCATGTCCTTCTTGGTAGGGATGCTCTCCATCTGTTCATTCTCTCCAGACTGGACTGAGTTGAAGCCAGTACCTGTGATTTTAAAAACTGGAATAGATAATGAAGTTTGTAATAGAAGGGACCCTTGTATTCTGTTGTGCATTCACTTTCTGAGCTGCCCCGTTTGTGCTCACCAACAGAGCTACTGCTAGGGGCATGACTTAAGAACATTCCTGCAGCCATGCCTCCAGTCCAAGGGCCACACTTTGAGAACAGATGCAAAGTAAGACTATAACAAGCTGATGGTTTGGGGTTTTTTCCCCGTTCTTCCATTCTACATGTACTACTTTCTGGGAGGGTCCTTATTCTACAACAAAATAAATGCTATAATTTGAAGTTACCCCTTGATACAAGATTGGTTGTTCTGGTTAATCCAAAATACTCCATCCTTAACATCAGTTACTAATCCTCCTTTCTGGTAAGAAAGGAGTATAGGAATAAGATGCACATTCAGTGATCATTCTCTTTGTGTCCATCCAAAGGTTTCAGCAACTTAAATACTGTCTCACAGAAACACATCTCTGTGTCTAGTCTATAGTCTTGGTCTGTAAATTTGATCTCTTCCCAGTTCTGATTTCCACCCTGTCTTGTAACAGATGGTTTTCTAAATCAGAAGGTTTTGATGTTGATGCAGCGTATGTAAAAAAGTCTGTACAAGTAAACTCAAGTTTTATCAGGATAGAAAAAAATGGATTAAAACATTTTTTTTACTTTTTTTTTTTTGTCTGTAGATACTAGGAAAGGATGTGCCTGCAAATCCATCTACAGAGGCAAGCAGTGAAAACGAACCAGAGAAAAAGAAAAAGAAACTGCAAAAATAGATGAATATAAAAGTTTAACAAGACGTCACACAGTTATTTGCATTTATGTATTTTTCCCTATGGGCAAAATGCTAGAAACTAGTTTTGTTTACTTTTTAAATACATACTTCAATAATCTGTAAAAAAATTTTTAAGCTACTTTTTTATGACTATTTATGCAGAACAGTATTTTTAAAACCAACTATTATCTACACCTTTGTCTTGTGGGTGAAAATAAATGTTTCTGCAAAGTGAAGGAATGATTGTAGGGTTTCTTTTTAACAGCCGTTTGAGAGCTTGACACAAGTCAGTCTCTTCAGTGCATTCTCCTTAGCATCTCCGAACTAAAAGAAGCAATTGAACAACATAGGTATGAAAAAGATGTCTTTATTCTGCTCCTCTACTCAATTTACAATTAGACACGTTAAAGGACTCTCATTAAAACTACTGAAATTATTTTAATGTAAACAATGACGATTTTGTGCAATGTGTGCCAACCAATGCATAAAGAACAACTACAGAAACAGAATGGTCAAGTTATTTCCATGGTAATTTGTACAGTAGGTTTCTTCTTCAAATCTGTTGTACAAAACACAATAAAAAAATATCCATGATTTCATAAAATAAATATTTCCCATCTAACCGAAGACTATAAAACAGGACAGAAAATACAGGCAATTTACCTGGGGGGATCCTTAATTACTTCTCCCATTCACACATTTCTGGTGTTACTTTTCCCTAACCTTTAAGAAAATACTAATACAGAGTGAAATTAAATATTTTAGTGGTAGATATTTTTATTTGTGAATACTTCAAAAGCCTTCAATCATTGAACATATTATTAAAAAGTCAAAAAATTAATTAAAAAGTATAACCCATTCCTAATTACACATATAATGCAAAACAGTTAAGAAAGAGATAATTTGGACCGCCCTGCTTCTTAAATTCATAAATTAACATTGCTATTTTTAGTAATCACAATTGTAAAAATAAATCCTGTGTACAGTCCAGGGAAAGAAAACCATCATGAGAAACAGAAAAGGCATAAGGTCATACATAACTTAGAAATCTTAAAGAAGTTGTGTCCTGCTTTTGAGTGACAAAACTTCTTAGCTTTAGCTTGTAACATTTTGAAAGCCTTACTGTATAAAATTCATATTCCAGAGTTCATTTCCTACTTTAAAAAAAATTCATCCCCTAAAAGTTACTAAGTCAGTGTATTTCCAGCTTTTAGTAGGGCACTGTTTGAAGATCATGAAATACAGAAGATGCTAGATGGATGGGATGCTAGATATAGGATGCTAATTCAATTACTGTCAATCCAATATGCATTACAGAAATGGTGATTAAAGTGCTACAGAAGTAAATATAATACACATCATGGTTGCTGGTTAGGAAACAAAATTTTTTAATATTTATTTTTGCAATGTGAGAAGTAAAACCAGGTGCTGTGCATAGGAGCTTCCTTAAGTATATTTCTCAGAAAGCCTTCACTGATGAATTATTAATGAAAATATTTCAAGACCTGTTCTATTTAAACAACACACAGAAGTCTCGGGTCTTAACACTTTGATTTTAATGCCGTGCAATTCTGCTAACATTGAGAGTCTTAAAAAATGCTGTATTTTGCCTTTAAATTTAGGTCTGACCAACGGTTTCAGGCTTAGTGTGCCAATAGCTACTCATCAGCCACCAACCATCACTTTGGTACAAGCTTTTCTGTGAGTTATGGAATAGAACAGAAAGCAGCCATCCAGCACCCTGGGACTGAACATCCTTGCTATGAAAGAGAGAAAGACTACTTCACCTGGAATACATATTAGAATGGATTTATCCTTTTCATTAATCCAACAAAGTTTACTTCAGAGCTCTACATAAGCAGAGCTCAGAAATCTCAGTATTTCCCTTATCTCTTCTTCCCCTCTTAGTCACTAGGACTAGAAGATTACCATATGGATTTTTTTTCCCCCATTCACATTTATAAATTCCAGAAGGTTCTTTTAAACAAATCCAATCAAATTTAACCAAATCTGATTTGATTAGACAAAGGGAGCTCTGGCCTTCTATACCCTCCTCAATTCATTACTTTAATCATCAATGATTTTCCTGAAAGCATCAAGGGTTTGTTTATATTAATAATTTCTGAAATAAGTGGCATGCAGAAGTTAATTACATTTTTAAGGGTTTATTTAAGTATTTTGGTAATTTCTGTAAGCAACATAATAATACTGGGAATTAAACATAAGAGAGAAGTGTAATGGTTTACTTTAATAGAAGAAAGTCTGCATCATTCTCTTAGTGGTGTACTGAGACCAATTAATCTTAGAGCACCTTCCTAGGTTCCTTCCAAAGTGTACTGGAGCATTAATTTGGACACAAGTGTTTTTAGGAGACACTGGTGGAGTCAGGTGATCAACTCCAAGGTTAGTACTACTACAATTACTAAAGCAGCAACACTACAATTTAATTTTAAATAACCAATAATACATTTTACTCAAATACATTTAGGTAAACCTGACAGACAGATAGGCAGCTTTCTGTCAAGCCAAGCTAAAAGCTGTTCAGAGAACTGCTAAACAGCTGCTTTTGAGATACTTTGTATTACTAAAAGAACTAAACTTTGGGGTTGCTCTCATCACACCCCCAGCAGTTCCTTTCCATCCAGTGACTCTCTCGATTTCCTTTTTCTCCCCACCACAAAAAAAAAAAAAAAAATGTCCCTCATGCCTTTAGGAGGGACAAATCTTAAAATGTAGCTGGTTTTGCAGTTGGTTCCTATAGAAATTATCCTAGGTTTGCTCATCTACCCAAAACACCCACGTGGAAGCTGAAGCTATGTCCAAACTTTCAAGACAAGATTCCTCATGGAATCTACCCTAATCACAGAAGGAACACAATTCTGGAAAGCATTGTTTCTCTGGACACCTTAATTTTCAAAAATAATCACTTAATACCATTAAATTTGCCCAGAAGACCTGAAAAATCCCACATTATTTAAAAACTCCCTTAATACAATTTATTACATTTGCATCAACAAAGCAAAATAGTAGGTATAATCCAGGTAACTGAGATCACACGTATAAAAATTTATTAGACAACACAACTTAAATTCTCCATCAGAGAACTACATACCAGTTTTGTGAAATCCCTGAACTTGACTTTCATTTTTATGTTTCCAAGCAGAAATGTTGCAAGTTGCACTTTTTCCAAATATTGTACTATGTGTTTTTGCTTTTTGGAAACAGGATTGCGACTCTGGAGATTTTGCTCTCAGCAACTGATTGTCCTTATGGCTTAAAACAGAACACTCCTAGATGAGTAAGGAAAAGTTAATTTTAAAACTATTTTCACAGAAATTCTCCAAAAGAAGTAATGTCCAAACCTACTGCCTGCATATTTCAAGTACCATAAGTACCTTAAGTACCACCTCTCCCCTTCTGAAATGAGAAAGAAATGAAAGAATATGTTTTCTCTGCATAGATCTTTGAGACTGAGCCAGACTCAATTCTTAAGTCAGCAGTGTGTGCTTTTTTACTTCCATTCTCTAGAGGTTCTCTCTCTTGTGAGAGTTGAATGAAGTACTTAATGCCTTCATACTTAAACACTAATCTAAAATGCAAAATTTGGCTTAGTCAGGATCTAGCAATTGAAAGATTAACAGTGGGAAAAGACAGCTGCATAACACTGGTGAGTCCCTCTAGGTCAGGTTTGATACTACACAGCTGATTCTGGGAACTACATTCACACATCTCATCCATTTCCAACAGAGTGACTGGGGCAAGACTGGGGCAATATCCATCAGAGTAGATGGATGTTTCTAGATGTTAAAGATAAAATAGCCAGCTCCTTTTAATTTTGTAAGGGCAAATTTATCCTAGTCTTAAATGAGCAGAGTTCAGAATTTGATGTCAATGGTCTGTAAGACACCATCAGTCTGTACTTCACCTTGGCAGAGAAGTGGATATTAGCATGTAATACAGAAGTGAAGTCAGGGCTGAATGGGCCTACTTGACGATTTTTTATAATTTGAAACTATTAGTCAGTATTGTCTCCTCTTCAAGGACTGTAAACAATACCAAGTCACAGGCCATAAACTACTAAGTTTGTAAGACCATAAAACCATAATTATTAAGTGAGAGGAGATGATCTTTGCTCTCTTCAAGGAAAATAGCCTTGTATCCAGTTCTATGCAAGAAGTAAAACTCCTTCCTATCAGTCTTAAGATTAAGGGTTTAGGAGTCTTGCTAGATGCGTATTTTCTTTTGTAATTTTTTTTCAGATATGTCATCAAAGCACTTGTAATCAAAAGACTGTACCCAAGCAGAAAGTTCCCCACCAAGTCAGCATGCTAGGTATGGTCTAAGAAACTTAATGAGTTTATGAAAATCAACAGTTGACAATTTTCCCCCAAAAATGTCCTTCTCCACAGGCAGATGTTTAAAAATTTAGCAATAAAAAAAGGCAGCAAGAACAGAAACAAAAATAAGAGACAGACCAATAAATCAGAAGCCATGAGCAGCCTCACAACTACCATTCACACATATACCTTGGTTTCTTTTGAAACAACCTGCCTTTGTCATAAAACACATTAATTTTATTGCCAACTTAAGATAATTTTTCCTGCATTTATTCCCCATTTTCAACAAACTTGAAATGACACTAAATTAACATTTTTTATTATCACCTCACTGTCTCTCCCCCTCAGGCTCCCTGGAACCAAATAAAATGGGGAATGGATGCTTTAGATAGGAAGCGTCTCACTTTTCTATCACAATTTAACTCCTACCTTTGTTCTAAGCAGCTGAGATTTATTCTGAAAAACGAGAGTATTCACATCATTTTCTCTGCAGCTGTTTTCAGCCCCCACAGTATCCATAATGCTGTTTCCACAAGTCTGTGTATTGTAACCACTGTCCACCTGAAATCAAGAAGCAGGGCTTGAAAAATGTGCTGTAATTCTAATACCAATAAATCCCTCAGATACCTGATATGATTGTCATTTGATTAACAGAACTTAATCCAACAAACCAACTACAATCAGTTAACAACAAAAGCAAATCGTAAGCAGATTTGTCAGAATTAGCTTGGATTAAGTTAAATGTATTGCTGTACAGAGCAACACAAAAATAATTTGCAATTGCTATGCTCACTCCACTGGGAACAAAGAGGGGATGGGAGGGAAGCAATATAAGTCGTGATACCACCAGCATGCCACATCTAATACAAGAAAATAACAATTACTTCCAGAATAGTGTATGTATTCAAAGTTATTATCTCCAGCTCGGTTTTACAGAGAAGCAAAAAAAATTTTTCTTTTTACCTGAATACTACTGTTGTCACAAGGAATTGCGCTGCTTTCGGCAAGAGGCGACATGCACATCCGAGAGCTTTCAATACTGAAAGTAATGCCTGTCATAAAGCTGGTCATTGGTGTATTGCTATTGCCAATTGTTTCTTTTATCCAAGTGTTTTCCTCTGACACTTCAGCTGCATCAGCCATGTCTACAGTATTATTTTCTTTTAAGCCTTCTATATCCTGAAATGATGACAGCCTTTGATGACAAGCTTCTGAGTGATCTGGTGCAATAGACACAGTTGCTACCACAAGACGTGTACCATGTGCGAAAGTATCACTGTCTTCCTGACATAAGTTTATTCCATTATCCATTTCTGGGAACCGAGCTTCTGCTGGAGAAGCATTTTCCTTGTCTTCCTCATCCTCATCGTGATTCTCAACTGCAATTGGTATTCTAATGACAGAAGTCTGATACTGGGCAGTTCCTCTGCAAGCTCCAAGCCTCATAGGAGAGCAGTTTTTAATTGGAGAACAACCATCTATGTAAGGACTTCTTGTACTTGGTGGTGTCATTCTATTTGAGGAAGAAGGAATATCTGGAGAGCGAAATGTAAATTTTCTTTGGTCTGTAAAAAAAAAAAAAAAAAAAAACGGACAATTTAATTCCACATGATATCTGATAGAAAAAATTCATCATCCTCAAATGCCTGCAGGCCACTGAACAATTATAGCCAACTACACAGTATTTTACTGATCCCCGTTTCCCAATCAAATCAAACAACCAACGCCAAATACCAAACAAACCAGTATAACATTTTAATTATCATGGTGAAGGCAAGCTTCTTACCCATTTTTATCACCAAATTTGTTTTCTGTGACATGGTTTGTTGCACTGGATGCCTTGTATTTTCAAATGTCAATACTACACAGACATGTGGCTTTAAACTCCCTCCCACACTGGATTAACCCTCCTAACTTCTTTTATTCCTATAAGGTCTCAATGCCTTCTTCTAAAATATTTTCCCTAGTTGATTTTTTGCAAGCATATACATTACACTGTCTCACACATTTCACTGCTAAACAGTAAATGTGTCACATAGGAGGAGACTGTTGGTCTGCCAAGCATAGTAACTTGTCTCCAAACACAAATAGGTTCCCCTAAGAACTCAGCAGTTTTTATAATAAAAAATTTTTATAATAAAAATATGACTCAAGAAAGAATAACACATACACAATTAAACCATACCTGAGAGTGGTGTTTTTCTTATGTGGAAAGCAATTGGTGAAAAAGTAGGAGAACCACTACGTGCAGGAGACCCTTCTGAGAATGTGGGACTGGTTATACTTCCCAGACTATAAGCTCTTGTTCCTCCCTGAATAGGACTTGAAGAAAACTGACCCTTCAGAAAAAAAAAAAAAAAAAATTCTAAACCACACAGCATATTTTTATAACGTTAACTTTGGCTAATATATATATATATATATATATAAAGAGTTCTAATTTAAAAGCTTAATATGGGAGCACTGAGAAAGACTAATCCTTAACAGTGACAATCTCTATCATCAGTTTAGCTTAAATATTTCAGTGCAGCTCTTTACCTGGACTTTATGCCTCCACATAGGAGAAATGCACAATGGACTCAAACTGTCACATAATACCAACTAGGCCTATTATATTCATTAGATTTAAGAACTCTGAGAAACTTAAATAGAGAATTAATGCTATCTGTGTCAAGTATCTGATCTAAATTTCTTACTCATATCAGTGCTGACAGAAGTCAGCCACTATTTATATTTTAATGTAAATCATATTTTCTGAATTACTTACTCCAGCAGCAGGCAAAACATGAAAGTATTTCTCCTTAAGAAAAGAGAATTATACTGCAAGAATGTGACCATTATTATGTTAACGGAATTCTTTACTAGGTTAACATAGTAACCTTTTTATAAGCCACACTATTCCTAGGGTAGTTTTTTTTCCCATGCGCTTCAGTCACCAAACAGATAAAACCATATCACCTAAACCAGTTCCGCTGTGCTATGTCCACCCAGGAAAAAGGTTTACTTTAATGTGAAGAACAGACATTATGTTCTGTGTTCTAATTAATGTCTATTCATCTGAAAACTCAATGGAAAAAAAAAAAAAAGGCAAATTTAGCACTGCATTCAAAGATCCACAAGTAATGTCTTCCATTATAAATGAGTTTATGAGCTTTAAGGGAAGTAATTATATCACAAGTTCATATCAACTGGTATTTTAGAGAGTAGTTTGTGAATTTAAACAGGACTTTTTCTGTATATCTATTTTATGAAAAAGATAACATTTCAACATGCTTTCAGCAAGTGTTTTGCATGTTTTAGTTTCTACTTCCATTTCATAACTTAACATTAGAACATAACTCGTTCTATACAAAAGAACAGCAGCACAACAAAATAATATGACAAAATAAAAAGTCAGTAATATATTCTTTCAATACTTTTAGTTCACATAGCTTTTTCCAAATTTGGGAAAAAAAACCAAAACCACCATCCTCAAGTCTAGCACCTACTCCCTCATAAAGTACATCCCATCCAGCCCACAAAACAGGCCACTTACTGAACCAGATGTGTCCAGAGGGCTTCTGCACCGGACCGGAGATAATTCTATTGAACAAAGCACTCCAAGTGGCTGACTACCACATGGACTATGCAAAGAAGGGGACAAACATGCAGATACATTTCCATTTTCTTCTAAAAACAGCTTTCTTCTGAGTGATGAAGAGCTTAGATTTTCCTGAGACTGATCTGCCAATTCTTCAGTTCTAAAATATTCACCTAGAAATTGTGGGGAAAAGTTGTTTCCAATAAGAGTGCAGAAAAAAAAAATCTTCCACTACAGAGAGATATATAACTAAATTAAAACATTCAATCCAATTTACCAATGCAGCAAATAATTAATCTAATTAGGCACCACTACAAAGAGCCCACTCAGTTCACAAAGGTTCCACTTCTGCCTACCATCGCTTAACACTAGGGTCTGAATTTAAAAAACTATAAAATATATGTATATATAGGCTAGTATCTGCTTACTGGTCTTTCCCCAATTCCTCACATCTGAGTTGCAAGAGTGCAAAAGTGATTATTTTACTACCCAAGCAAAACTAAACTCTTTTTCAGGTCTCCCAGGTGTTTAAATGGTCTTCGAGACATATCCAGAGGCAACTGGGTATTCCTTCTAGAAGAAATTTTTAATGAACTCACAAATTATGTGTTGATGGAAGCATTTGTTAAGACAAAAAAAAAGGCAATAGATATGGTACTGTTTTTCTGTTTTAATTTAGATTAATTTCAATACTGGGATAGATGTACGCAGCTGAAACCCTCCGAGCTGGCTGTATCCTGTTCCCACGTGAGCAGTAAAAACAGGCCTTTCCAGCCTGAGAAGGTGGCAGCAATTGCTTGATGTAGCATTTATAATCGGACAGTTAATTTGGACTGTTGCCTCCTCAGTCAGCAGTCATGGCTTGTTTGCCACCGCACAGGCTCCAGTCACCACCTTGGCTTCAGTTAAAAGGCAGAGTTATGGCACAGCTTTACTCAAGGCAAGGTTGGGCTATGAGCCTCAAGGCCAGTCAACTCTAAGTCAAACAGCTCTGCGAAGTTAAGTAACTGCTCTGTTTGGGGGAGGCAGGAGTTATCTTCTGCTTACTACCTTTTATGCATTTGTTAACTGTTAATCAATTTTATAGAATCACAGAATATCTGAGTTGGAAGGGACCCACAAGGATCGTCAAGTCCAACTCCTGCCCTGCACAGGACCATCCCCAGGAGTCACACCATGTGCCTGAAAGTATCATCCAAACACTTCTTGAACTCTGTCAGGCTTGGTGCTGTGACCATTTCCTGAGGAGCCTGTTCCAGTACCCAACCATCCTCTGGGTGAAGAACCTTTTTCTGATATCCAACTTAAACCTCCCCTGACACAACTTCAGGCTGTTCCCCCAGGTCCCGTCACTGGTCACCTCAGAGATCAGTGCCTCCCCTTCCGCTTCCCTTCATGAGGAAGCTGTAGACTGCAAGGAGGTCTCGCCTCAGTCTCCTCAGGCTGCACAATTTCCAGTTGTCTTCCATATCCCTCCTTTTCTATCTTTATGTCCACATTAAAACCATATCATTTAAGTCACGTGTCCTGTGTGACACGCACTGTCTAATTAGAACACATACTTAAAACTCATTCATTCATTTAGTTCTCTGTATTTCATAAGACAAAAACACACAGCAAACATTTAGACATTCATATATACAGATATTGCATGACATACCTAGTATTTTCTCTAAATTAATATCCACTGGCAAAGACAGTACTGTCTGACAAGCAGCTGCAATGAATAAAACCAACAAAATTAGCTTAGTGACCTTTTACTAAAACTGTAGAGGCAAACATTCACTTTCAAATTGCACTGCAATTGAGCTATTTAAATTACAGCTGCAATAAGGAAAAGTGTTAATTAAAGCTGTGATTTTGATTTGACAACACTATATGCAGCACATTAGGCCTGGCGATAAAAAACCCAAGAGTTGTAAGAATGCCTCTCTAGGGGCTTTTATGTTAACTGAGGAAAGAGGTCTCTGAAGAAAGGAAGAATTCAAAAGGAAATGGGAGAAAAATTATCAAAATACCCTGGAGAAAAACACTACCTATTTATCTAAAATGATACAGTTTAAAATACGTATTAAGATTTCTACTATTTATTTGGCAGAGAAAATAATCAAGATTCTCTAACCCTTAACAGTCCAACACATTAAAGGTTTCTTGAAACTGTAATTTACCCATAAACTTGAGGCTTACATTCACTTTTTAATTCAGAAAAAGTGCATACATCGAGTTGGAAAAAACGCACTCCGCAGTCATACAGAGGACTTCGTTTTTTTACTTCATAAAAAATACCAGAGAGTATAACAGAATTAAATTACTATGGGAAATAGATATTAAAATTAGTAGTACCATTTAGGTCAAGAAAAACTATTTCTACAGGAATATTAACAAACAAATAATTGCCCTTTTAAATTAAATAACCATTTAAAATGGGTTATTTTGCTTCAGAGAAAGCCTGTAATTTCAGACATTGCCTTGCACTAACCATTGCTCTTCCCAGGCTGCAAGCTTAGTTGTCTTCCAATCGGAGAAATGTTATTTAGGTCAATAGCTGTAAAACACAGAAGAACTTAAAATTAAGGCATGCATTGCATATAGAGTTAGAATATTTAATACAACTAAACAAAACTTTTGCATTGAAGTTTGGAAGAGATTAGGAAGGAGTAATGAAAAAAGGTTACTATTATAGCTGAAGAAGAGAATTTCAGCACCTTTCTATTCAAACAAAGCATAGTGAAATACCATCAACACTGCTCAGACCTTTGTCTCCTGCACCCTCCTCTACATTAGAGAGATTTAAAACAAACTCGTTTACACTTAGCTAAACAGGCTGTGCTCAAGTAGAACACATTTCCATAAAATCACTCAGCCTGGACTTGAGGTGAAGAAATATTTTGGGTTTTTTATACAGCTAAAAAACACACTAGACCATTTTCCTTTACCGTTCACTTTTCCAGATCTCGGATTATGGTTCATGTTCTCCGCTCAAAAAATTATGACCTTGCAATTGACAATTAAAAATACACTATCCACAAGCTGCATCTCCACAATAAAAAAATTTTAAGTTTAGCCTTCTCCAAATCTTGAAAAATCACCACTTATTTAAGAATTTCCTACCAAACACTACTTTATAGCTGACATTTGTCCAGCTTGTAGTCCATTTACTATGTATTCTGCTGGTTATATATAAACTTCAGCAACAATAGCATTAAGAATAAAATCTAACGTGAGCATAAACATAACGAACTTAGGAAACCCATAAGCAGTGACCACGAGCTAACAGGACACTAAGATGACAACAGGAATTTATGCAGCAAGGGTAAAAAAATATGGAACTCCATTTCCCATATGCTTATATGGTGAGGAAAGCAGTCAGAATAAGGACATACAAACATCAGAAATAAAAAGTAAAGTACAAGACTTGGCGATCACCAGTATCAACAGTGCAATTCTGTGTGCAAATTAAATTGGTTAAAAACAGGTTTATTAAAGTAGAAAGGTTTAAGAACAAAATCCAAAAACAATAAAAAGGAAAAATTATAAAGACAGACTCTTGATTAACAAATAATTCTTAAACAAAGAAAGCACTTGGAGAGAACAGCTGACAATCTATCAGTTGTGCCATATTTTATCACCAGTTCTTAAAATTTAAATTAAGATTGAAATAAATTATGCTTGATAATTTCTCCAAAAGCTACACTATTTGGATGGACACACAAAAGCAACTTACATTTAGTTGAATTAAACTGAGAAACTTGTTTGCCTTCATGTTCAATCCAAGGAGAAGGAACTATGAGTCTTTTTGTGAAAAACTAGAGTAGAATAAAAACAATCATGTCAGCACTTTAAAAAAATTGGCAATTCTCAACTCTAATTTAGATCAGTACCCTGAAGAAGAAAAATTGCAGAACATATTTCATTATTTCAGGCCCAGAGAGATTAAGGAAAAAATAAGCTGAAGACCACCATATTCTTTATGACACATAGCACACCTCAGATCTTTCAGACTGAAAACTTAAGAAAAGTTTAATTTAACAATAATTACTCATTTAAAAATTTGAATTGTCACTGTCCCACTTATTGCACAGTAGTTTAAAATCATTCTTTTAAAGTTTTCAGTTTGTTAAGTTGTATTTTGACAATTGAGCTATTTCACAGAAGTGATAAAGAGACACCATTTCAGTCTTTGTCTTTGAACCAGAAACTGTATCTATCATCGCAGTTGCACTATGGAACACCCTGATGCTGAGGAGATGAACACTATTACTTCAAAAAATACATGGCAAACCCTGTTTCCACAATAAATGCAAGACTCAAAGTAAATGAAAATAACTCAGCTTGAAACACAGCTATTAAAGGCATAATTTTTATCAGAGACATGGTTTCAAGCTGTTCAGCTGCAGAATCCATTAGGTTATACCTCACGAAGAAGAAATACCCTTTTTAATACAGATACAGAACAAAAGAACATCTTAGCTGCAGGTCAACTACACAGCGCCTTGATGGAATCATAAAAAATATTTTTGTTTGCAGAGACAGAAACTGACAAACTTGCCTACTAGAGCTTTATTTTACTTTTTTTAAATTGAAATTACATTTAAGATTTCTATAGTGGACATTTGAAACACTTTTCCTTCTCTGCTACACAAATGGATAGTAAAAAATAAAATGAAAAATGGATGGAAATATATACAAGCTACCACAATAAAGTAGTACATCTAACTAAGCAGACTTTGGAAGGAAAAAAAGAAATAACAAAAAATCAACAATATTTTAAAAAATGCAATAAACCACTAACAGCTACTGTAAACCCCCAAATGCTCATTTTTAACCTCAAGTTAACTATTTTTAAGTTACATTACAGCTACATTACCACTAGCCAAGCTACATGAAAGAAAAAAAAAATCTGTTGTTTTGACCTACAGGTTTGTGAAAAAAGATGGGAAGAAAAAGAACATGTAGATTCCAACTACAGTGGATGACGATGCAAAATTACTTTATTACTGAAATATAACAGGCTTTTGAGGTTTGAAATCCTATAATAGACCTGGATCTTTTTTGTAGACAAAAAATTAAATCAATATTTGATAGCACAAAATTTTATTACCTCCTCAATAGCTTTTTGCCTTCTGTCTTCTGTCTCCTTATCAATTCTAAGTAACAAATGAAAAACAACTCAATTATCAAAACCATCACATAAGAAAAAATGTAAAGTCAAACCATGTAATAATTTATAGATGCTCAAGAGGAACTTTATAAATGCGACTGCATTATACTCTAAATTGTAAGATGTTTTTACTGTTACGTGTAATAATTTTATACTATAAATTTAGAAATATTAATGCAATTCTCAGCTCTGTTCATTTGAAAATGATCTGTACCATTTATAAGTACGAATTTGCAAATCATCTATTTACTCCTTGTATCAGCAAGTCTGGACAAAAACTCAGTCACAACTCAGTCATATGAATAGATTTTACTATTAGTTACCATGAGATTAATCTTACACTGTAAAACCAAGCAGAATCAAAATACGGGATACAAGGAATTGAAGGGCAGCTGAAGACACTCCTGGAATTTGCAAACTCAGTTCCTGACACAGCCCACTTTCCCAGCACAGAGTTCTCTCTGCCAAATAGAGAGTCTGCCATATTTTTTTCCATTTAGAATATATCATATTTCAGTTTCTAACAATGAACATATTCTCTTATTCAGCTTTTAACTTAGCTTTTAAAAAAATATTGTAGTTACTTTAGCCATGATGTGTGAGACTCTGTATTTCCTCTAATGGTCACCTTCAAGTCTCACTCAGTTACTACTATGCAATTTATTGTAAAATTTTTTGAAGTTTCCAAATGTTCATCATTATCTTAGCTGAATCACACAATGGTTTCATATACAGTTAGTATACTTGAATTAACCTTCAATAATTTTAGAAATCAGTCAGACAACCCAACATTATTAGCTAACAAACACACACACAGATGTGCCTGATACATAAATTCTCTTCCACAGCTCTTTCTTTCATGCTTATCACACTTCCAATATAACTACAATGTTTAGACATGCCATCTTCAATTATGTCTGCCTAGATAATGCTAAAGGGACAATTCTATGAAGACACCTGCACAAAATTCAGTTACTGTACCAAAAAAGAGTAAACATACAATCACTGTATATTTATGCACAGTGGATCACAAGTAATAAGCAGAGGAACTGGGAAAACAGCTCCCATTAGAAGTGCTGGTTAGTGTAAAAGAGGACCTTTTTTTCTTTAGTACATAACTCCGGGAAAATAACAAAGTGAAAATGTCATATATGTTTAACAAGAATAAAACCAAGACTGTCTTGTGCGCAACTTCAAGCAACATAGCACTTGCAGCTGTGACACACAGTATGCAAGATGCAGATAGGTATCTTTTAATAATTAACGAATAATAGCATAGCATCCAATTTAGAAACATTCAATTTCTATCAGCAGAAATAAAAAAGGAAGCAGAAAGTTTGTGGACAAGGCTGTGTCAGTGTGGCTGCTCAATTACTGACAGACTATTTTTTGAATAACAAAGTCTGCCAGAAAAGCATTCTCCTAAACATCTTACAAGCAGTTTAATAAACTCACAGCACGTAGATGATGCCCAGTTTATGGAAACAGTAATACTACACAAAATCAAGTCTATATATGATACACACTCAGACTTTCCCAAGTGCTTATAAGCTTTTACACAGTGCTGTTCCTCAGACTGTTTGACTACATTACAGAGATTTAACAGTTTGAAATAGTTATACATGGAATTACCTATGCTTGTGGTTGTTTGCTATTAATTCAGAGAGTTAATTGTTAACAAGCATTATAAATTATCTCTTTTAACAGGAGTACATAATTCACATAAGATTATGTGTGGGCTTCAAAAACTCAATTCTTTCGTCACAAACTTGTAACATCAAGAGTAGTATTTACGACACTTTTATTTCCATGAAACTGTGTTTATGAAACCTAAATAAGGTTTCCGTGCAAACTCCTACTCACACATTTGTATACAGATATGCATTTAACCATGTACAGTTTGTAGCCCTCAGAAGTAACCTCTATCTGTACTACCCTGAAACATGCAAGGATGTACAAAGCAAATCTACATATGGTCAAACCAGCCTCTTTCTAATCACAGGAGACAATAAAAAAAAAAAAATCACAATGGGTATGAAACAGTGGGACAGACTAAAAGGACCCACAGAGACAACACACATATCTATGGGCCATGTCACTAATCATCATTGGAATTGTCACCCAAACCATCTCGATTAAAGCTTGTTTGTGGGTGTCCAAATAGGCTTCCCAAAACAGTGCAATTAACTCCCTAAAAAACATAAGGCTTAAGGCTGTATAACATATAAGAAGCATTAGAGTCTGAAACCTACTGGTTGCTAGAGGAAGGCCAGGAAACAAATGGCTATTAAGGTAAAAAAGGACTGACATTAAGGCATGGTGATTCATAGATACAGCTGAGGACAGTTATATTCCTTCTACAGTTCTTCCTATTTAAAAAAAGAAAAATGTAGGTTCAGGTCGCTTGGAGAGTAGTTAGATGCCCTCTAATCTGAGTGACCTGATCTAGACAGGATGGAAATTGGTTTATTATCCTATTACAGCGATGCTTCATGCCATGTCAATAAAGCAAAAGAACAGTGTTCCAGTATTAATGCTAAGTTAACTGCACAAAACCAGATTGCAAAGTTACCTAGCATGGCTCAAATACATTGCTTGGCGTCGAACATCTTCTGAGTCAATTTCCACAGGATTTATTAGAGCAAGCTGATCAATAGACCATCTAAATTTTCCTGGTGTCTGAAAAAAAGAAACAGGCATCTTAATGCTTGCTATTCTAAAAAGATAAAAATAAAACTACAGGACAAATCTCAATGGAACAACACAATCACTGCTACCATATAGTTTCTGATATTCAAAAGAGTTTCTATTTAAATGATCTACTTTAAAAAAAACGATTAATCAGTCAGGCTTCTTACTCTGGTGGTAGTATTACAGTGATTTACATGATAATATTAAATAGAAAGTTATAGCTAATATTTACAAACGGAGGTGTCAGTTTCTTCTCAATTTCTGAGGACAGATCTAGTAAAGATACATAACTTCAGATCAAATTTAGTCGTTTCTAGATTGCCACAATCCAAATTGTGGTTCCATGAACACCCAGTGTCTGTACCTAAACCATGTTATCCAATAAAAGAGCAGTCTTCCTTTCACCTCCCATGTTGAAGACTGAAGAGTTGCAACCTCATATGCATCTTGCAAAGTCTCCCTCATAATGCCATACATAGTGCACTACAAAATCCAATTCAGAAATAAAGCAGTTTCACCCCTTTATTTAACAATTAGCACTTATGTTCAAATACCTTTGAAAAATTATCTGCCAAGTAAGTCTTTTTAGTTTCATTAGCACAGTATCTTCTTTACTGCTTACCAAAGAATAATTTCTACTGCAAACCAAGATGTAATTTGCAACTAAAAGTTGTATATACACAAAATCATTAACTCGAATACAGAAACAGCTCATAGCAAAAATGCAACTAAGTTTTATTATTTAGGAACTGGGGCTTTTTTAGCACTCAGTCACCTAATATCTAATGACTAAATAAATACAGAAAGGTAGGAAGACTAAGCAACAAGATTAGTATTAAAAGTAGCATATTTCTGTAAAGAGAAGAAACTCCAAATGCTACCAAAATTTTTTAGCTTAGTATATATGTTAAAGTACACTAAATAAAATATCCTTTAAAATGCATTTGAAAATATTAATGCCTAACATACATAGTTATACAACTTAAGACTAGAACTTACTGATGAGGAATTTGTTGACTTGAAGACCGAAGGACTGGACACAATCTGCTCCTGAAGAGTGTAATAATCACTGGGACTTTCAAAAGGATTCAGGATTGCAACTCGTCCTGGAGTTTCTGGTGCTATCTGCATTTTAGCTTCTTCTGTATCACCCATAACACTAAACTATACCTGAAAAAGAGAGAGGGAAAGGAAAAATTAAGGGACATAATGAAATCATAATTTTGACATTTTAGAGTTATACTGAAGGCTTTAGGAAGAGATGATCATCGTTTTAAGGTGCCAGAAGCATTTAAAGGGCTAACAAAAACGAAGTGCGCTTTGGCTTGGACCTACTAGCATAAAGCCGATAAAGAAGGCTGGTATAAACGATTAAAAATTAACAGGACCTAAAAAAAACCAGACAAGAACGGGCATGAAAAAGGGAATTAAGAAAAGTCCAAACAAACAAATACCAAAAGAATAAGCAACCAAAAAAAAACCAAGAAAACAACACCCATGAACAACCACGAGAAGAAACAGAACGGTCAGGAGGCCAAGCGCGTTCCTGGGGGGGGAGGGCGCAGCTCACGCACCAAGCGCTGGCACTCAGGGGCTTCGGGAATACGGAGAGGTTCCAGGACGCGGGCAGCACGGTCCCCCCGCCCGCCCCGCGGTGCCCGCACGCCGAGCAGCGACGACGGAGGGGGACGGAGTGGCGAGAGGGGGCTGCAGGCGGCGACCCGCCCTCCTCCCCCCACACCGGAGCAGCCTAGCAGCCCCTGGCCGCGGGCAGGGCCTCGGGCGGCGGGAAGGAGGATGCGCGGCGCTGCCCGTGGGCTGGGGCAGCAGTAACGCCCCGAGCAGGTCCCGCTTGGCCCGGGCGCTAAAACCGACCACCTTCCCCCGCCCCAACTGGCCTGCCCCGGCTCTAGAGGGCTGCGGGCGGCGGCACCGCTCCCTCCCGCCGCAGGGCACCTCCCGAGCCCCCGCGGCGGCAAACAGGACGGGAGTCCCGCGCGAGAAGCCCCCTCTCAGCATTCTCACTCTTCTCCCCGGGACGGTGCCACCGCGCCGAGCCGCTCTCTGAGTTCCCGGGCGCCGAGGGGACGGTGCTGCCGCGGGTGCCGAGGTGCGAGGCACAGCCCCCGCCGCCGTTACCGGGCTGCTGCCACCGCCGGGATACCACCACGGCCGCGCCGCCCGCTCATAGGGCCCCACTCGCCGCTCCCGCCCCCGCCGCGCCGGGCGGCCCTTTAAACAGCTCCGCCCCCTCCGCCCGCTCTGACCAATCACAGCGCGCGGCCTCCGCCGCCGGGCCAATGGCCGGGCTCCCTCTCTCTCGAACGGGCCAATCGGCAGGGGCGCCGCGGCACGAATTCGAAAGAAAGCCCGCCCCCCAGGGCCGTGCCGCTGCGCTGGGGTCTCGCGTGGGGCCGGGGCCGGAGCCGCGGCTCGTTCCGGTTCCGGGGGAGGGCTGTGAGGGTCGCCATGGCGAGCAACGCCGCCAGCCTAAACGCGGTGCGGGAAACCATGGACGGTGCGTGACACAGCTGCGGGAGGGGGACGCGCACGGGGCGGCGGCCAAGAAGCAACGCTGAGAAACAGCTCTGGGTGCTTCGATTCTTCCTAGTCAGGATGGAGGAAAAAGCGAACGCCCCCGGGGCACCTCTCCTAGGAAGAGGGGTGCGGGTTAGGGCTGCTGGAAGGTGTAGGGCGTAGCGATATCTTTGTTTGCTTCGTGTTATTCATAGTGAGTGAAAACGCTTTGAACACCCGCGTAGTGCGAGTGAATTTTGGACGTCGAGTGGCTTTTCTTGGGGATCTTTAGTTAGCTAATAATAATAGAGAGTACTGTTGGGGTTTAGTGTTTATGAATATATGTAAGTTTCTACTGTGCTTTCTCGGTATTTGTACCGGATAACGCAAATGATTGTTTCTGGCTCTGTCCGTCCTGGATTTAAGCCGGGGGAAAACGAAGTGTGTGGAAGGGAAAGGCGGGACCAACCCTGTGACGCTGCCAGTGCCTGAACTGATGTGAGCCCTCGTTCTCCTGCATGGCTCAAGTCAGAAAACAGAAGTAAACTAAATTAAACAAGCGAACAAACAAAACCAAAACAAACAATATAGTGAAAAAGCGTTGAGAACAGTAATCAGTGTTATGGAATTAGAATAGTTTCTGATGCAAAAAAAACCAAACAAACAAAACCAAAACTGTTATGGGATGGGGAATGTGAGAATAGTGGCACCAGGAGTGCTGGGAAATATTTTGGAAATTTGTAAGCCAAGAAATGGGATCAGGTGAGTAAAGGTCAGGTGTTCACTTACTCTTCTGGCCTGACTAGGAGGAATCAAAACTGGTACGTCCTGGAGTTGTTTCTTAGTGTAGTGCAAAACTCTGGAATTCTATGAAATGCCTATGGCAAAGCCTTATATGCAAAGTGGAAAGCTGCCAAGAAATCCTCTGAGGGTTGTTAAATGTAAAGATTTTCTCTGAAAATGCCCTAACAAGAGAGTGAAGGCTAGGGAGAGCATTTGGGGGATATTGCTTTGCGTTTGCCATTTTCTCAGCATCTTCCCTTCTCTTGAATTTATGAATACTATAACATAAAAGTTTCTTAGCAAAGACTTTCACCAGTCCAGCTGGTGTAAAAATTAGCATTTCAGCCACTGATCTTTGCTCTCTGACCTGCAAAAGCAGGTCTAGCAGAGTTATGGCTCCTCTGATGCTGCAAGAGGTTAAGACTAATTTGTGCAGATGGAGAGAGGGTTGTTTGGGTAGGATCGACAGTCTAAGTTCTGATAACTATATTTGACAACTGTTCTCTCCATTTGTGCGGAAACATTTTGGGCAGGAGGGATGATGTGTGGATTTAAAGACAAAAAAAAGGCTTTTAAGAACAGATGTGGAAAGTACACTGATCTTCTGATTTAGGAGCCCAGGCTCTCCATGTAAAAATGTATACATTTTGCCTAGGATAGACATAGATATTTAGCAGTTGTTCTCTTCAGAGTTAAGAGCTCGGAATTGTGGAAAGACTGCACCAAAGGCACGACTCTGACACAGTGACCACAGCTCTTGCTGACATAGAAAATTGGAACTTACCTTCAGTTAGATTACTACTCTGCCTTCAAATATGTCACATGCTTAGTAGAATTTTTGATAGATTTTAAATGGTTAAAAAAAATAATAATTGTTTCTTTCTGGGAAGTTTTTAGTCCTTCTTAGTTCTGTAGCTCTTAAACATTCAATGTCATTTTATTGCAACTTCATCAGTTTGTTAGTTCAAGATGCTTTTGTATGGACAGGGTGTGCATGTATAATGTGTTTGGAATGGTATGTTTTAAAGCCAGCAGGAACAGAATGTCTTGAGGTGGAGAAAGATGGAAGCTTTCCTCCTGGCTTGTAGGTAGGACAATGGACTGACAGACTGCTTTCAAGTCTTAAACTTGTTTGTATTCTTAATCCAACCTATTTGTGTGGGCTTCAAGAATATTTTCACGCCTAGAGATTTTTTTCTCCCTGTGACTTCAATGGAACTGACTGGATACATTAGGTTGTCTTGGGTAAGTGTGACTTACCAGAGTGTGCTGCAGGATGTCACTGGTGTACCAGGGAATATTTTTATAGTTGTCAAGTGGACAGTAGTCATTTGCCATGATGCTTTTACATGGTGAGAAAGACCTAGTACTTCACTTTTCCCTAGCTTGGGGGAGGTTTGGTTACAGAAACTGTGAGTAACACCTGTACAAAATCAATCTATATTGGGACTTAGCTTCAGGATAGAGCTTACTTTAGAAATCAGAAACCAAATCTCAGTGAGTTGTTCTGTTGCATCTTTGACAAACTGTTTATGAGAATCAAAACAAAGGGGCCTTTCAGAGAAACTTAAGAAGTAATGAGAGAGATGTGACTGGAATCTCCTTCTCCAGAAGGTCTCATATTGTGGTGCTGCTCTTGATTCAGGACACATAAAATTGAATAGTATTGCTTATCATTAAACTTGTGTTAATGTTAGACCTAAAGTCAGGTGTCGTTGTGGAAGAAGGTGGCTAGATAACTGCTGACATTCTCTGTAAAAGCTTTAGCAATGTGTTTCCTGGTCCATTTCAGTAGGGCATCATCAGTATCTGAAGTTCAGAAGCACAGTGTTTTTATAGCCTACCTTTTACATAATTGGTAAGCATGTTAATTGTTGAATTCTTCATTTATTTTTTTACTTTCCTGAACCAGAAAAGAATAGTGTTTATGTTGGAAGTCATAGCTTTTAACTTATGCTGGAAAGCTGAACATGAATGCTGTTGTTGAAGTTCAGACTGCAGTGCACAACTGCCATGTTCACACTCTACTGTAGAACTTAAATGTTGATCAATAATGATTTTGATAATTGAAATTTCATAGTCTGTAGGGACCAAAGTGATTTCCTTTTTTCTGTTGCAGTTCTCTTTGAGATTTCAAGAATATTAAACACTGGCTTGGATATGGAGACATTGTCTATTTGTGTGCGGCTTTGTGAACAAGGGATAAATCCAGAAGCATTATCATCTGTTATTAAAGAACTGCGCAAGGCTACAGAAGCTCTAAAGGTAATACTTTTGTTTAAAAAGCTTATAAATTTATTTTTAAGAGTTGAATGTATGTGCAACTTGCTATACTTCAATTCGTAAATTGTACTTTAAGATATGATTCATATTTAAATCAAGGAAATGAACTGTTCCATGGAAAAGGCATTGAATACAACTAAACTAAACATGATGCTGGAAATGGTACAAATAAAAAAGTTAGATTAACTCTTTTGAAGGGGAAAAAATAAAAAACCGAAAACCATGACCAAACCCCAGAGTTTTTTATTCTGGGCATTTGTAGTCACCATTTGCCCCCTTATCTGCATCGTATCACAAATACGTTGCTACTTTCTCCTTTAACCAATATAACCTCATTTCTACAACCTCAGACTTAACAGTATGTAGCAGTACTTGTAAATGGGTACATGCAGCTTGGTAGTGTAATCTTCACGTACTGCGTTCACCACATTAACCTGTGCCTTGAACCTTTCCATAGACCAGCAACAGGGGATTTCGTGACGTGTGTATATATAGGGCTTTTCGTATATTAGCGTTTACCTCCTGTTTAACTAGTAAAGGGTAACAATGGTTTAAAAACAAATCCTCAATTGACTTTTAAAGGAGTTTCATTCTCTACCTAAACGTCACAATCATGATTGTCTTCTAGTGGATCTAGTGGGAGGTGGAGGGGAAACCTATATCTTGCTTCTACTCTAGAAGACTGCATACTTTATTTTTAACTTAACATATTTCTATACTCATGCTCTTGCACATTTTATATTTGTGCTTAAATGTGTGCATAGATGTGCATTTAACTATGTGTATGTAAGTAATTGAGGACTGTTTTACTTTTTCATTTGCTTTTACTGATTTATCATTCCTGTTGCTATCTTTTGACTGTTTGCCCCATAAGTGCCTAAAATTTCCCACTGTCAGTCTTCAACAGTGTGCCTTGTGGGTTGGGTTGAGTTATTCAGTAATAAAAAATACTAATGTTCTTAATCAAGTAATTGGCGGTGTGACTTATACAATTATAGTTAGTGTAATTCTTCTAAGTTTTTTGTCAATAGCTTATCTGTATGAGTGGGAATAGTAATTACCACAAATTATATCAAGTAGTAAATTCCAGAGGTAAACATATTCATGCATTTGAGCACTTCTTGAAAGCATTAGGGTAAAATGTAGAGGATACAAGTTGCTCAGATAAAGGACATAAAATTTAACACAAACAAGCAGGAACGGCTCTTTTAGAAAAGGGTAATGGCAGTTGACAGCATTATTTTTTAAAAAAAATAGTGTTCATTAGAGGAATGTTCATAAGTAGTTCTTCGTTTTTAGGTTTTCTTCTTTTTAAGTTCTAGGAAAATTAAAATAGTTACAAGAAAAGACTAAATTTAATCTCTATGATGACTCTTTTGCTGACTTGCAATAAGTGTTTTTTCTGTTTCTAGGCTGCTGAAAATATGACAGGCTGATATGGGCAAAGATTTCTGCATGAGAAGAATGCCAAGATAAACTTAACAGGAGTTCTGAAGATTGCCAGTATTCAGACAAAAATGAAATAAGTGTGTATGCAAAGGTCTCAGAATATTTCTGTAATATTATTCAAAAGAATGGTGTATATAATATAATAGCTTTGAAAATTTTTTTAATAAGTTCACCAGTAATAGTTTACTTGGTATTTTTGTGAACTGTTTGTGAATGTAGTGCAATTGCTCTTTGGCATCCAGTACTTTTAAAATCATGCCAGTTACTGTACATCTGTTGAATTTACTAGCATGTACAAATGAGTATTGTTATAGTGAGTGCACCTTTTTTAATGCATCCTTTAGAAGTGCAGGTATATCCTGAGTTTTATCTCTTGCTTTGATGAAAAACTGCATGTAACAATTTTAGCCTTGCTTTATGGACCACAGAGGAATGAAACTTAGACTGACTTTATTTTAATTAGAGTAAGGGCAGTGACTTAAGTATCAATTTGATAGTAAGAAGTAAAGCATTTTTGATAATATAAGTAATGAATTGTCCTTTTTATTTTGATTCAAATTGCTGGGAAAAGTGTTTTACTTAGATAACAAAGGTGCTTCAGTTATCCATGCAGAAATGTATGTAAATTTAAACTCTAGATGACGTGGGATGTTTTACGAAGATTAAATGCTACATTTGTTATTTGTTCCAACTACTGGATCTAAAAATATTTAGTCTGTATGTTATTGCTTAGTCAAAGCATAAATGAGGAGCATCAGATTTGGTTGATGAGTATCAATGAGTCTTAAACAGTCATTTGGTCTAGAAATGTCTTCTCCTTTAGAACTAGGAATCTTCACTGGTGCCAGACGAAGTGGTTATTTCCAGTAAATATCCTTTCATCCAGAAATTCTGGTTTGTAAGAAAATGGTTTCTTGTGTATTCTTCACCTGCTACTTTTAAGGTGGTTGTTGTTTTTTTGCTTTTGTTTTTGTTTTTTTTTTAAGCTTTTTTGGTTTTGGTTATCCTATTTTCAAGGTGTGGTGCTAATAGGACTTAAAGGAGCTCCAGGGTTAATAGGGTGAAGCACATTTGGAAATGAACCTGGAATCTTTGTTAAGTCAAAAGTTATATTTGTGCAGAGATAAAAAGTTCTTTCTACTCTGAGAGTTTACAGCATATGCACCCTAGGTCATAGCTCTATAAAAAGCAATCAAGGAGGCTAAATACTTCAAATTGCTGGTAGAGAGAATAGAAAAATACTTAATATTAAGCTGAATCACCTTTATTTGCAGTTAGCCTGTCTAAAAAATCATTGCAAGAGGACGCTGTAAAAATTTGGGATAACCAAGCTGGGGAACTTATAAATGGTATCATTTTACACACTCACCGCACCAATCTACAAAGGATTTTAAGTGTTGATGACTTGAATATTGGGTGGAATTTTTTGCTTTAAACAGTAAGATATCCTTAGTATAAAAATATATAACAATGAAATTTTTCTTAGGAAATCTGAAAAGTCAGTAAAACATTATGAAAACACCAGGTATATAGTTCTTGATCTGTCCAGTAAATTGCATCTACCACTTTGCCATCAGTAGGCTTACAGTTCCTATGCATTTAGACACTTTCTGGTGGACCATTTGTCATGCAGAATTATAGAAGCAGGGCATGTCTTTGACATTCAAAACCTCATTTTGATGTCTATAAAGCTAAAAATGCATTATTGTTATTATTACATGGAACTAAATGGTAATATTGGTTACTTAATATTAATTCATATACTAAAGGGAGAACATGTTGTTTCTCAAAACTGGCATAAGAGAACTGCTGGCTTTTGGTTTGGGGTACCATCCAGAACAAATACAGTAAGTATTTGTTTCTTCTTCCTGGTAAGAAATAAAGAAAATCCCTCTAGTAGGAAGTGTCATATTGGAAATGTTTACTGCTGTAAGGTAAGTCTGTCATTTAATAGCATCTCCATTATGTGAACATGAATGCTCAGACTTAGCATTCGTGACTGAGAAGTCGTGTCTGTATTTGTAACCTGCACCACCTTCTACTATGTTTAACTAAGAAGTCAAGCAAACAGCAGGTGCTTTTTGTCTGTGCTCCTTACTTACGTGCTCCTGAAACTCTTCAAGATAAACATAGGAATAGCTATACAGGTCCTGACCAAAGTTGATTTTTTTTCTAACACAATAGCTTCTTTTGTAGTCAAAAGCAGCTGCATGAGAAAGGGTAAGAACAATACAAGCACATTTGGTTATTTTTCTTCTGTGCTCTAGTTTCTAAGTGTCTTCTATTCCAGGCTTTCCTGAACATCATATGGTTTGTCTATTTAGTAATTCTCAGTGCTCAGTTTTCCAGTACTTGTTCAGTTTCCTTTGGACTGCATATGCTTCCTGAATACCAGCAGCCTTTATCAATTTATGTCTGTTGCATAAAGAATTGCTACTTCTTGTTTATTTTGAACTAGCTTTATTTAATATGCCCTGCACAGTAAACTTGTACCTACCATGCCTGTGCCGGTCAATGTTCTGCAAATATGTAGCAGTCACTTTTAAATTTTCTCTTCTAAACTGAAATGCACTATCTAAAATAGTTCTTGGGTGACCAAGAGTATTTACTGTCCTTTGAAACTTTCCTGGGTCTCATATTATTTTCTGAGAAGGGAACCAAAACTAGATGCAACATCAGCCATGTAATTGAGTACTGGCCTGTTTGTTTACTTTCTTGTTCTTTATTCCTTTGCTAGTAATTCCTAATATTTGACTTGCTTTTTTAATATGAACCAAATGTTGTGCTGTTTCCATGGCATTATCTATTGTAACTCTCTTGAGTGGAATGTTAAGCTCAGAGGTTATTTTTTTGTATAAGTATGGTGGTTTATCTCCACGTGTATAATTTTTTGTCTATGCTGAAATGCATGGGCCATTTTCTTTCCTAATCAGTCTTCCATGTGTTTCTGCAGTTCATCACAGTTTTCTAGTAGTCTTGCTACCATCACTAACTTTATAACTGGGAGATTTTGTTGCTTTGTACCTTTTTTGAGGTTAAGTCATGCAGCACACAACCTAGCAAAGACCCTGGTGACCTAGGGCAGGAGCTGACTGTTTATTCTCATTCCTTTTCAGTGATTGTGAATAAAATGCAGTCCTGCCTACCACTTACAGTTTCTCATTCTTACACCAAGTATCTTTGGTGTCACATTTAGCAAAGCTGTGAGAGCTTAATCACAGTTGTGAATCCAGTCATGCAGAGAGCATGGCATGCTTGATAACTACTGGGATTGCTGACATTTGTAATTTTACATTTTAGAAATACAAACTTAAATAAGAAAATAACTTCACGTGAGATCGCTAGTACTAGAAAAGAAGATAAACATATGATCCTGAAGTCTCCATTGTAACATTAGGCAGTTTTTTGTAGAAAATTGTAGTGACCAAAAAACTGCGTTAAAAAAAAAAGCTGGATGGCGACTAGGCCAAGACACTTGCTCTAATAGGTCTGTATGCCTGAAAGGTGTATATATACATTAGCTAATGTTCTTTCCTACCTGCTGGTCTCTGGGTGAGCAAACACTGGTACAGTCCTAGACTCGCTTTTTGATTCAAACAACTAGCTCCTTCTGAGTTTAACTTGTATGCTATTGCACACTTTACTCCAGGGACTGCTCCTAGCAGGCTGTGTACCCAGGTCCTGTTTTCCCCAACACTTCACCTTCAAACACTATCATCTGCTTTTACATGCTCATAGTTTCACACTGTAGAAATGCTGCAGTCCTTATTATTTGAATATACTATAAATTAAAGGCAAAAAGATTACAATAAGAATCAGCAGTGACCCACGTGACAAGGTGGTAGGTAGTATGGCTGTAGACAACTTTAAAGAGATCTAATGCTGAGCAGTGGAGCTTTATATTACTATGTGTGATCTGAGATAGGAATGTAGGCATGGCTTTAGTATTAGGGATTCACCTCTGAGCCGCAAATATTAGTTTTTAGTTAAAGTTTGGAAACAATATTTCAAAAAATTAAAAGTATGTCAAAGTAATTTCAACATTTAAAAGAGCAAGTCAAGAGCAAGAACAGGATTGCAGACCAGTCACCTAGCGGTAGCAGTAGCAAACATCCAACTGGTGAACTTGAAATTTCCTCAGCAAAGAATGAAAGACAAAAATGTGTCGGGTAACAAAGAGACAGGAGGAGAGGAAATGGCCTCAAGTTGTGCCAGGAGTAGTTTAGATTAGGTGTTAGGATAAATGTCTTTACCGAAAGGGCTGTAGAGCATTGGAACAGACTGCCCAGGGAAGTTGCCATCCCTGGAAGTGTTCACAAAATGGGTGGATGTGGCACTTCAGGACATTATTTTGGGGTGAAAATAGTGGTGCTGCTGGGTTGATGGTTGGACTTTGTCTTAAAGGTCTTTTCCAACCTTAGTGATTCTGTGTCGATGTATGTTTCAGTTTATGCAGGACAATTTTCACTTCAAACACCATTGGCATCATTCAGTAAAAACCCAAATGTACTGTATTGTTTTGGTGTCATGTTACCTTGGGAGTGAAATACTTGAAAAATGGTAATTTGAAAAGGATTTTTGAAGCATTGTGAACAGCTACTTTACTGTGAGGTTTTTGTGAAGTTGTGGGAATGGTTCCTATTATATAGAGAAAATAGGTCTATCAAGTAGAAATATTGAAGTAAAACCATAGTACTGTTCACTACTTTCAGACCCACTGTTTACACTGCAAGAAAGTAAAAGGATAACTTAAACATACAGCTGTTTTAGAACTGGAGAGCAAGCTTGATGAGTTCTGAAAGAACCCAGGAGTGTGGAGGTTCTCAAAGAGAAGTTGAGAAGACACATAATGACCCTAGTTATGGCCTTGAACATAAAGGAAGTCTTGTGGCTACATCTTTTTAACCTGACAGGGAAAACATACCAGATCCATTACCTTAAAAATATGGCACAACTTCCCAGGAGTGAAGGTAAGTAAACTTTGACATTGCAAACTGGCTACTGCTTGATGTTGTTAAAATCAATAGTTCTAAAAGACATGCTTTAATCCACTTCCTGGTGCAAAGTCTACAATACATCTCTAGAGGGTGTCAGGAGCACTGGCTGTAGCAATTCTTTCTGACTGCAGAGCCCATAAAGGGCAGTGTTGAACAGCTCTAAGTAAAAGTAATGTGAAGGAAATTAGGAATATTTAGGATGAATATCACTGATGTTTCTGTCAATGAGATAAATGGAAGCCTGCTTTCTGAGATATTTAAACATTAACTGATCAAAAAAAAAAAACACACCACCTCAACTATTAATTATCTGAACTGGAAATCCGGAATACATTGAGTCTAGGCACTTTTATTATCACTTTATAAATATTTTTATTTTCTCACTTCCAATTTTTATGTGTTAGGAGAGACCAGCTCATGAAAATGGATCTCTGAAAGAGCTCAGTGGTGTCCTTATGTAGGCAAGTGAAAGTTTAGCACTGAAATATAACTTTCAGCGAATTAGATGGAAAATGAAGGAGTGGAGGAGGGGATGCCCAGCAATACTATGGTTCCCTAAGGAACCCATAGGGACAGCCTGTAACACCCACGAGGACCCCATGGTAGGGAAGGAGGCTTCAGGAGGGTGAAAAGGGTGAGGGACATCCCATCTTGAATTTATTTATTATTACTTTATTTGTACACCAGATCCAAAATTGGTATGTTTGAAGATACCAACAGTTATGTTCCTATTTAATGGTCAGGAGATAAAAGAAAGAGAGACTTAGGATGTCACGTTGCCTTGGCATTTGGCATTGAAGCTGGAACTGCTAAGACAAGGTTGCCAACCCCTTCTGCCATCACTGCCTGTTGGCATAACTTGTGAGGATGCAGCTTCAAGGAACTGAATCAT